ACATTCTACTCAAGGGGTGATCCTAGCCGTGATTAAACTTTGAGGTCAAAATAGATGACAAATAAAAAATAAAAAATCCAAAGCCAGATCCATCTCCACCAGGAGTTGACTTTCTTTCTTGAAGGTTATCATGAATGGACGGAGATGGGTTTCTCACAAAGTACAAAGGATCTTGCAAACCTCTCTTTCGATAGAGAAGAACAAAGGGTTGAAGAAGAAAAATAGAGAGAGACACACACACAATGAATCGAAATCTGAGTGCTCTTCTGATTGGAGCGAGTGGAGCAATAATCACCTTGTCTGCATATTCTCAGACGCTGGTCTCTTCCACTCAATGTATCACCATCGGCTTCCTCGTCCTTATGTTTGCTCTGCTTCTTAAAGAAGGTCTCATCTCACTTTGATCTTTGCCATTTGGATGAACAAAGAATTATCCACGTCTTCTTCAGTTAATCTTGTGGTCTCTTGTTGCAACAGTTCCTGTTTTTCTTTTCTCCTCATAAAATTTGGCTCATGTCGTGATTGTTGTTGCCTCAAACTCAGCTGTTTCCTGCTTGTGTCTTTCGTTTGTTAATTTGTATTGAGAATCAAAGGGCTTTTAGCTGTCATTGTACTTGTTGCACTCAGCTGGTTTCGGATTCATTGGTTGTTCTTTGACTATGGTATGAAGCTGGTGAGTGGTGATCCATACATTTTCTTCTTCTTCTTGAAGTTTCAGACTTCGATAGATGTGTGTAGATGGTGATATGCATTCACCCCAAGCTGTAAGAGGACTCTGATTGGATGGATCAGATTGTGAGGCGTTAATGTTTCCTCTAGTGTTAGCGCTTTTTGATGTTTCTGAGCCAATGGCTTCAAACTTTTTTTGATTAACCGACAATTAACAGATGCCTGTGCCACCTTACCAAAAAAAACAGATGCCTGTGCCCATAAGAAAATGCGGAGCCAACCATTAATTGTGTTGATTGTGACTTAGGTACTTGACTGTGCTCTTCCAACCAGGGGCTATATCCCCTGTACAACATTAGGAATTTCTTATAGACACTTAATGATCGAACACTAGAATTTGCAGATGTAATGCTCATTCCTCACGGGCAAATGGTAGAGTCCTGCAAAAAGAACTTCTGGAGGATGATGAAATTTCAATATTAAAACAAACTGGCTGAACTCCAAATACTGTGATGTTGCTGGATAACTTCCACCTTAATTAACCCTAGTTTTCTCTGTCCCTGAAAAAACCAACCCTTCATTTCTTTCGTTCTCTGCTGTGTATTATACCGCGGCAAAGCATTTAATGCAGTATGGAACTATTTATCTAGCATGAAGAATGAATCTTGTATTCGACATCATAAATTCAAAACAGATGTGGACAGTCAATGTTCTTTATCTTTCGTCAATGAGCCCTGCCCCGATATTAACCGAAATGTCATCTTTTTTCATGCCCGAAAACTCCATAAAGATATGAAAAATATTAAGTTTTCCCAGACGGGTTGTCCTTGTTTATCAAGAGAGTAGAGTTCCATAAACACAATTATGAGTTTCTCAAACCAGTAGGTTTTGAAGTCTAGTTATGGTATCACAATTCAATAATTTCTTCATCATAAAATATTAATAGCAAAGAAAATAACAAGCTACTAGAACTGACACTGGATCAACAATTGATTGGATAAAAAGAGAGAGAGGGGAGTTTTTTACAAACCTATTGATGCCACTGTCATTATTCGCCTTCTGATTCTCCGCAAACGGCGACGCGCTCTTGGGTATCATCATCATCATGAGTCTAGCATGAGAAAAGGAGATGGCAATGTAGCCAGAGATGACTTGCCGGCAAACTGTGATTAAGTCATAAATATATCAGCTATGTCCAATGTTTTTGACATGGCAAATCATTATAACAAATCTTAACACGAGCCACGGCCGGCAAGTCATCCTTGGCTGCAATGCAAGACCTCATTCCCACATGCAAGACATGTGATGAATAAGTGCAATGAGCGAAAAATGTAGATCCTTTACTAAGTTAGCAGGGCCTTTTCTTGAGCCCTATATTGCATGAACTAGGAATATTTCACAAGTCCCAACAGACAAAAACATTCCAGAGCCTCATCCAATCAAACTGGAGGTGAAGCAGCAGAAATTCTTCCCACCAGGAATTAGTATTACGACCCCTTTACACCAATAAGGTAAGGACTTGAACATTCCATTTTGCAACGATCAGACAGTGCATGCCTATCTATTTACTGAGACTAGAAAACAAGCAGTTTATGCCAGAAAAGAGAGACAGTAGAGAAGAGGAAGAAGCAAGAAGCCAATTGGACAGCAGAAACTTTTCTTGACAGAAAATGGACGAATTGGATTTGAAGGAAAGACAGTGTGAAGGGTATTCATATATATACACAAGGATAAGAAGAGTACTTTTTTTCCTCTTCTTCTATGGGGAAGTGAAACCTAAGCCTTTAATGATGCCTACATAATTCACACAGGAAACGACAGGCTCTGTTGAACCGTCCAATCTGTGTCCTTATTAATCCCTCAACACGACCACAGGACAACAGGGTAGAAAAGATCGGAGTTACTTGGGAGGGAGGATGCATTAGAGTTTGGATGTGACCACTGCATGGCCCCAAACACCGAAAGAGAATTCAAGAAAGCCTTCAAAGATCAATCCCCATCAACTAAGCTCTCTCTCTCTCGTTAGCCCTTTTAAGACCAATCAATGTGTCTGTCTGTTTCACCTTTACCCTTTTCTTTCCTCCGTACTTGTACTGCGGGATTTGCTTTTACCAGTCGGTGCTGTTCTTTCCTTTCCCCTTGAAACGATGTGACTTGTGTTAGGTGAGAAAATTAACTAGATTCAGCTTTTGCCAGACTCACTTTCTGGTTGCAGCGTTTACCTCGTGTACTTCGTTGGGATTGGAGAGACACATGGGGTGTTGGAGCACGACAATGATTTTCTTCACTGGTTTCCTTTTCGGACGGATTTATGACTGATATAGAAATAGATGAAAAATTTTGCTGCATCATATACAAGAACATGTTACAACATAAAGTATGTCGAATGGATAGAAAGTTTTCGTACTTTAGAATTATGAATACGTAAAAATACATGATTAACCCAACTTTACAATGATATGTAAGATAATAATGTCTCAAACTTGTCAATATTTTGGACCAATGGCCAATACGTGAGGCAAATTGTAAGTCATGAGAGTTGCTCTCGGTAGCGGAATTGGTTTTCTTATAAGACGAGCGTTTTCGATAGCCGAGCAAGAGTTGAGCGGGCACCTAGTGTATCAAACTCCAAAGCGTAGCCGGGGGTTACTTTTCAAACTTAGGTTCGACTACTAAATGCAAATCAAACGTGCACACAGCGCTTTGATTGTCCTTCTCCAATAATTTTGGGGAGGTACGCGGTCGACTTTACTCATTTATTCTGCACTTGGACCTTCAAAAGGTTTAGCAAAGGGGAGAAAACAAATATGTTCCCTGAGCATCGTGATGACTACACTAGTTCGTGGGAAAATTACCAAAAAGAAATTATATACCTATTGTAATTGTGCCAATTAAGTCTTAAAACATTTTATTTTGCCAATTCAATTTTTTTATATTTTTTGTCTTCTTACTTTTTTTTTCCTTCATCCTCTACAATCGGACTTGGCCCCTGCGAGGATCAGCCTTGCCAGACCTTGTCTATGGCCGATCGCTAGCCATCAAGGAGGCCAGCAACCGTAGAGGATGAAGGGAAAAAAAAAACAAAAAATATAAAAAAATCAGAAAAATTTACAAAAATTGTCCACATTGGTGTGGTGGTACTACATAAAACGGCCAACGTCCATGTCAGTGATTTTTGACCAAAAATGTCGAATGGATTACATTTGTAAATTTTCAAAAGGTTTAGGACTAAATTGATCAAATTAAAAAAATTTGGACTGAATTGGCACAATTATATTATGTGTAGAACATTCTTTTGGTAATTACCCCAATGTTCTTTGTTGGTGAATTCTTCGCTACAATCACATACCCATTTTGTTGATATTAGCTCCAAACAAAGATATTCGTACCAGGGAGCAATTGTCTAGTCCATTCACATAACATCTCAAATGAGAAGAAGAGACGGATAAAAAAGCATCGACTTTATAATGTCACACGACATTCTCATAAAGATCGATTTCAGAATTTTTATCACTTCCCAATTTCGATTTACTCAGAGAATTTGCCGTTCACAACCAAACTTTCCATTTCTTGAACGTCCAACAACTTAGCGTAAGCTCAGCTGCATAGAGACAGGAGCGCTGTTTTGGGTTGATCCAAAGAGCCGTTCAAATGATTAGCGAGCGTCCCATACGAAGCGAAAAGGGTGCGATGTTCTTCAATGATCTCACAGACCCAAGAGCGTATGTCAAGACATTACGTTCCAGTTCTCAGTTAAGAGAGTTTATGCCAGAATTGCATCGTGTATGCGTTTAAGCTAAGCGCATCAAATTCTATCTCCCAACTGATTGGGTTGTAAGGCAAGCAGCTCGACAACGCTACTCGTACATAGTACCGACTGCTGTTTCATTAGGAAATTGGTTCGCTTCACCCGGCGAAACTGAACAGAATGTGTTTTCCAACAAAACAAAACCTCTGTTCATTACCGTATAATAGTTTTGCGAACATTCTCTTTTTTAACCAATATGTTCATACCCATTAGCATCTAGAAATAGGGTAGTACTCAGATTCCCAAAGCTGATTGGTTTCGACATAGATTAGACCGATGCAATGCTGATCAATCTGTCTGAATACTCCATTAGAGTTTCTCACATTCACAGTATCTATCAAACCCTATGTCCAGAATCACTCTTGGACATGGAAATCGTGACCGGTTGTTGAATCGGTTAGGACTGCTCCATGTATTTCACTATACAAAATAAATTCATTATCGAGATCCAACAATTATTCTGCAGGACAACAGTCCAAGCCTCCAGAATAGTGACGACCTCTTGTAATAAAGAAAATACATAAATCCACAAACATCGATGCAATTTTAGACAGAACCATTCACCACTTTTTTCCAAAGTTCAACACAGACTTAAGTATCTAGTAATAAATACTTCAGTACTACACCGAGCACTGCAATAGTTTCACCACAATTCAAGCAATTCCACCTAACAATGCTCGAATTAAAGACCAGAGTAGTCCAAGTTGTTCTATCTAAATTCCTAGAGACACTGGAGTAGAAGACTATACTCCACAGAATCTAAATCATTATAGATTTCTCACATCAGACAAAAATGACGCCTGCCAGTTTCTACGTCCAACTTATTTAGGAATCTCTGTACAGAAAATCACCACCAAAGCAAACATTACATGCAGAATAGTGGATTGACAAGCTAAGCTCCACCTCCAACAGAACATGCTTCTTCGTTTTCAATGAAAAAGAAATCCTATCTCGATCTCCTTTCTTACCCCTAATGCTACCACAACCAACATCAATCAGCAAAAGACAAGATATGAATATCTTTACTGTAAATACTAACAAGACGGCCCCAAAAAAACAAACTAACCATACCTCGGGGATTTCACGAGACCTGCCAATGTAACACAAATGCATGAGACAAAATGTTAGAAACAAACCCCCGGCCCAAATATACAATGTATCCATATAAACTAAAGAGATAAACCTACCCTTCTCCAATAACTGTAAGCCAATACCTGGACAAGTCTCTGACGTCTGAAGAAATCTTGGAAGATGAACACTGCCTTACGGGCATTAGACATTTCATACAATTGAAAACATCATCCACTATCCTGGAGAGAGAGAGAGAGAGAGAGAGAGAAAGAGAGAGACTGATCCTAAAGATATCAGATGTCAAACTGATGAACCCCTATAAGAACCGTAAACCTCAGTTTTGCAGAGGCATTAAACCCAAGACCCAGAAATTGCCAAAAGCTTTGCCTAAATGCTTCAATTCTAGAGCGTAAAAAGACTCGCAGAGCATGAGATTTTAAATCTCAACATAATATCAACTGAAGGATCCCACCAGAATGCAAGTACGATAAGCAATCTCACGAGCCTAAACCCTATGTCAAAATTGCCCTTTGCACCAATGCCACACATTGACCACTATTTTGTTGGTCAGAATCAAGGAACCGGCAATAGAAAACTATAATGTAAAGGCAGCCACAACTTGCAATCATTCTTTATTCTCTACTTCTTCCTTCACAATGGCAACCCCCACTTTCCAACCATAAAGAGGGAAAACACACAATATAAGCAAAAACAAAATGCTGACACAAAAAAAATGCATTTGTGAGCAGTGACCAAAAATTAAAGCTTTCCTATGAGATATTGTTTTATCCCATGGCAAAGTGAGGGTTGGGTTTATTGTTTCTGATTCAAATACTTCAAGAGACCATATTGGAATAGCAATATCAATATGGCCAAGATCCATAATACTCATTTTTGCATTTTTATCTGGATTTGTGGCTGTACTTCTTTGTGTAGGGGAAGGGAAGTGGAGACTGCAAAAGCCATCGGCATTCTAAGTTTGAAGTAGGACCATATAAAGTGAAAACGCCATAATCTTCACAAGCTGGGAATTATCTGATAAAACTCAACACTCAATACAACTACCACAGGACTGAAGCAACTTGGACTAAGTTTTAGATTAACAAGAGGAGGAAAAAACATTGGAAAAAGACATGCTGCTCATAGTGTTTGTTGGGAGCACAAAGATCTTGGTCAATTCATTGTCACAGGCATGGCACTTTTCGGAGGTACTATGGTCTTCATATAAAGTAGGTCCTCATTAACATAAGCATCAAGGTAGGCCATCAATTTGACAAATCCTTGTTCATCAGGTCTTCTGGTTAAGGCAGGGGGCTTCATCAATAAAAAGCGGTAGGTTGACTTCAGGCTTCGTGTCTATCAGCTGTTTTGATGGGGCGGGAAAGGCAAGAACATCAGAACGACGCACAGGTAAACTGGAAAGGTTAGGATGGCAAATTGTCAAATAGATGTGACTAGCCTATCTCAAAGGAAAGTCCCTTCAGGGAAGGAAACATGTTCTACCTGCAATTTTTCAGCATCAATTACTAGTAACCATAACTTTTCCGGCGGGAAACAGGGTTCTGCCCAGACACCCTGGAAATAGAAGCTAAAGATCAGGAGGAAGGTCATAAACAGACCAGCAAGAAGTGTTCAGTAATTTGCATCCTGTGACATGCACAGCAGCCTACGGAGGCTAATGCTATTACAGACTTTACAGAAAAAAAGAGCCCTATCGATCAAATACCGTGTGTTCGAACAGAGTTCAGGCTCGATCATCATCCAAATTTTAGGCATGACAATATCGAAGACAATCCTAACAACTAAGAACAAATTAAAAAGTTGAAGCCTCAGACAGAACACTTACGCAATAAGAATCCACCAAACAATGGACAGAACAAACTGTTAAGGCATGAGAAAGCATAAGCTTTCATGAAGACAATTCTGACTATTGATACCAATATTTTGAATTGGGAATATTACAAATGCAAGATCTGATCGTTTTCACCTACTCTTACTGCCTATATATGCACAGGCACACAAAATATCAAAAGTGCATTGCCAAATAAAGACTTCAAAAAATTTAAATAACTAGTCATTGAATTGCTCTAATTGACAGTAACTGATAACACTATGTTCAACAGGGAGGCAGTGGAAAGAAGAAAGAGGATTAAGGAAGAAGAAAAATAATGGAGTAACCTTTCTGGTTGTTTAAGTAAGTAGAAAAAAATTGTAGTGAGATAAAGTGAAACAAAGAAAATTGAAAAACAAAATGAGTAAAGTGATCAAGTATTCTCAAATCCCTCAAAATCACTCCACTTTGGGGGGATGAAAAGTTCACTCAAAATTGGCTCATACATCAAGAAGCAATCCTCCAAATCCTTTCCTTTCCATCCACTTAAATCACACCAAACAATCTATTCAAATCTTCCCCTTCAATCTCTTCTCATCTCTACAAATCTCCCCAATTAGATGTACTGTAAGAGTTTCTTGTGTTTGTATGTAAGTGCGTCCGCGTGTTGGGAGCATACATTAAGGTCATCAAACCTGTTTACTTGAAATTAACAAATATGTCTCAACCTGTTTACACAAGGTATGCTCAATAAAGAAAGTGGGAATTTAATAAGGAAATTGAGAGTGCATGCCCATCATATCATGAAACTGAGGCAACTAGGTGAGTTTTAAACTTCTACTAGTGATGAAATGAAGATCACAACATTATATGAGTCTTCTTGAATCAAGACAACCCATTACCCAAATCAAGAATACTGTATACCATGCCCAAGCAACAAAGAACTGAATCACATGAGCATTTCTGTTCGTCCCAAAAAGCCCAGTTGAGAGTAAAGCCACATTTATCAAAACAAGTCTATAGATTTCGGCAATAGTATGTTAGAAATACCAAGAAACCTTCTAAAAAACCTAGAAAGATCATGAAAGAAGAATAAGAAATCATACCCAGAAGAGCCAGCACGTCCAGAAGAATAGCCACCATATACACCATATACACTACCGCCACCACCAATCTACAATTGAAATCAAAAGATTGCTCATAATTTTTATACAAGTATGTGAACATCAAAACAAGTCTTAACCACTACAAATATGAGAAGTGCACAAGCCTTTACAAAAACCCACTTAGCAACTCAGCATCTGACTTTTAACAGATTTAATACCTGTGGACTGCCATATCCTCCATAACTGTCAGCAACTCCTAGATCACTCGAGCCACCATATCCACTAGAATAGGAGTGACCCCGTGGATGTCTTTTGTTCTCTCTGCTATCATAATTTAGACCATCCGAAGCATCAGGAGGCACAGGGAGGTATGGAAGAACAGGAACGAAAGTAGACAATGCACCTTCCCTGTCAAACACATTCGCTCTCAATCGTGTTGTTACTTGTACCAGAGCATCCTTTGCTATGTCGAGATCTCCAGAAATCTGATCAGTACAAAAACTAATTATACGTCCAAGTTTGATATAGTCACAAGATCAATCGATTAATACCATAAGAAGGTCACTGCTCAAAAAACTGTAGGGCAGAAACACCCTAACTCTATTACCTGCACCATCTCATCATCGTCAGCAGCAATCTTTGGAAGGTTTTCCTTCGACAATATGCGAATATTGGCTTTTGTGAGTCTCCTTATCTCCGTTATAATAGCCCCTCCTTTACCAATAAGACAGCCAATCCTTGACGTTGGCACAAGCAGTCGGGTTGTAAATGAGAGGAGCCCCGAATCTCTTTCAATTTTCTCACTGCACCTTGGTTGCAAACGCACTGCAGCTTCAATAGCAGGAGAGAATGCATCTTCGAAAATCTAAATCAACAAAGACAATTTAACCAATTGTTAGGTCTATTTAGTAACATCGCCCATAAGATACAACAATCTAAAAGATGCCAAATGTAGAAGTTCACCTCTTTTGCTGAGATAGTAATCAAGCAGTCATCTCCCTCAGTTGAAGAACTATCAACTTTGATAGCTGCCCCAGATTCCTGCCTTATCTGGTTAATTATGGTACCACCCTTGCCAATGACACCACCGATATTTCCAATTGGGCAAACCAAGCGAAGTGAGAATTCTTTCGGTGAAGTGTCATCCCGCGATGCTGAATATAAGGAGCGTGACCAATCACCAGTGTCACCTTTGTATCCTCCGTAAGGACCTATCAACGGTGCTACACCCACAATTGGGGCACCAGCAGTAGGAGCAATAAGTGAACCACCGGTAGAATACATATTAGGAACAGCAGAAGTGAGTAAATGCTGAGATCGTGAAGGGTTATCGTGCAGGCGAGATGCAATCTGATGGAGAGCCTTTCTCACAACTGCAGCTTCCCCAGAAATCTAAAAACCAACAGCAGAAAACTTAATGAGCTTCAATCAGCTAATGAAAGAAGACATATCAATACAATCACAACATCTGCTGCAAAGTAGCAAATGCAAAAGAAGAGAGCCAACAAATGTCTATAGCTAAAGACAACAAATTATACGACAACAAGTTCTACGATATATAAACTAAGTTGACTTTAGAAAAGATTGCATATTCCGATATATGCCTTTAATAATGAGATCAACATTTCACTAAAATCCTTCAGCAAGTAAATGATGCCATTACAATCCTACGTCCAAAAGGGAAAACATTAAAAACTTTCTAATGTATGGAAGTACTGAACAATCCCCAAAAGTATAAGCAGGGTGTACGGGCCAAAAACTTTGAAGTTGACCTTGCTTTAATGAGCTACTTACCATTATATCTAGTTGCTTGACAAAGGCCGATACAAAATAGGTACAAAGGGTGCTATACAGAACAATACGAAGAGAAAATTTGTTTACCTGCACAAGCTCATCCGAGTTTAATGCACATGACGGTAAGTGGTCGTCCTTAAGAATCCGAATCTGTGCACCGGTGTCACTACGTATATTTTGCACAATCTGCCCCCCTTTGCCAATGACACATCCAATCTGATCAGATGGTACAAGAAGACGAGCAGTAACTTGCTGCCCTTCAGAATCGTCATCACCATTCAACTCTTCGGCAACTACTCTCTCATGAATCTTAAACAAAGCATGTTGAGCTGGGCACACAAAATTAGTGCTATCTTCAAAAGCATTAGTCTCATCACTAGAGCTATAAATGGTGACAACGCGCTCCTCACATCCAGGCACTGTCTCACCAATCCTAATCTTGGATTTAGTGTCTGCCCTTAGTTGTTTGACGATCTCCCCTCCCCTTCCAATAATACTTCCTATCTTTCTTCCTGGGCACAAATAACGATAGACAGTATCATCTGAGTTTATAACAAACTGGTCTCTATCGTCACCAGGATTTCTCCTTTTACTTCCTCCGTTCTCAGCATAGTCGGACTGAGAATGAGCCCGCTTCCCATAGCTATTCCTCTGACCAGCCATTTTTGCAAGGGGACAAATCAATTCCTAAGCCAGCATGAAACAACAGAAGAACATTAGAAACAATAAAAAAAATGCCAAAGATGTAACATCTCACAAGAGGAGTTCGAATGTTTTCCACAATATAAAAACGAGCAAACATTAAAGAAAAACTGTTATCCTTAAGGTAGAAAGTAACAAAAACGAAATCTGGTGGCATGCTATATCCACCAAAATCATCAGTATATAAAAGGGAAACCACTTAAGTTTCCGCAGACGAAAAGTCAAGCGCATTGACCACGTCATCCAATCAATAACACACTTACCTAATCAACTCAAGTTCAAGATCAGCAAATGAATGCAAATATAATGCCGGTAAATCACTAACTTACAACTAATCCACGCAACATGGCAAAATCAGGTGTGGTGATGAAATGTAATCTAGTACATCAAAGGAAGGCTCCTAGCTGTCCGATATAATGGCAGGATAATTTAATATTTTTACGAATATAAATGAGATACAGTTGTTTCACTGAATAAGACAGAAGGACCCACTCAAAGTACAAATAAAAACAATGACTCAACAGCAAAAAACCAAGTAGAAACTTCAATTATAACAGAGTCACCATAAAAAACCATGCTTTCTTGGGTGAAGCATGAAAACAACTAGTTGCACACCATGACAAACAAAGTGATTCGCATTACTCGAACACAATTTCTTCCCCGGTCATTGTCTTGTACAAACAATACACAGCTCAATTCGCACAAATTTGCAAGTGCCAAAATCATCTAGTAGAAGCGAGATCATTCATGGAACAAAATTCCAACTTTAACACTAACCAAATGCAAGTTAAAATATCACAATAACTCTTGCCACCATCATCAAGATAATTGAACGCGACCAAAACATATGCATACAAAGCGTCAATAGTTCATATCAAAGTAATGAAGAAAATACGTCAACGCTATATCAATAACGAAAGCATCACGAAAGGACATCAAATCTCTAGACTAGAATCAGAAAATCAAAGACAGAGACCTCTATCTACCATCGATTATGCCCGCAGCCAGGATCGAGCAACCAAGTCATGCAATTGGAAATAGGGTCCGAAAAAAAGCTGCTTTTCATCGCATTAACGCAGTCCTACCGACAAAAAATACGGAACTTTTCGATTCCGGAGAGAAACTTTCCATTACCTGCGACCTCCGACGCTAGAGGAAAGGCCGCGAACAAGACCCTCGCGATGTTCCGAAGACCGTTCCGAGCGACGAGCGAGGCTAGGCACGAGGAAGCCGCGCGATCTTCACAGACCCTCCTCCTCCATGGCTTCTCCCTCGCACCGAGCGGAACGCGGATGTGGATCGGCGAGCTACAGATCTGCGGAGGACGGAGGCTTCATCGAGCAGGAGCGGATCGGAGGACGCGGAGCGAAGAGCTCGAGCTTCGCGAGGTAGATCAGTCTCGCCCTTTCTCTCTCTCTCTCTGTCTCTCTCTCTCTCTCGATCTGTTCTAGGGTTTTGACGAACGCGGCTTGGGGAACGAAGACGAGATACTCCGATAGATAAACAAAACACACCCCCGGGAAATTCTACCGTCCCGTGATTTTTAGGGAAAATTACGGACGAAAGGTTTTATCAAAATAGTTAATACCACAAAAAACTTTAAACTGTTATATTCATGATAAATTTACTATAAATTAATTTTTCACCACAAAAAAATTTCAAATTAGTACATCTGTAACAATTTTACCCCAAGTTAGTTTCCGTTAAATTTTATTGCCAAATTCCTGAGTTGCATAACACGTGGGATTTGACAGATTTACCATTTGGGGGTTTTACCCTCTGTTTGTTACAAGTGTATCAGTTTGTGATTTTTTGTGGTATTAATTCAATTTAACATAGGGTATATTTGTCATAAATATATTAGTTTAGAGTTTTCGATTATAAAAAAATTAGTTTTTTTTGTAAATTTATCACTGGTGTATCAATTTGAGATTTTTCGTGGTATTAACCCTTATCAAAACATACATTTGATAGGACAAAGACATTTACTATTATATTATCTTAGGTAAATTACATTTTTTATGGAATATTATGAAATAATAGGACTCACACATCGTGCGACGATGAAAGGGAAATTAAGTTCTCCAGAGAAAAAGTTGAGGAAAGATATTTTGCAGATAATTAACTTTCTAGGGAGGACCATTATAATTGCCAAAAGAAAGTCACGATGAATTGGGCGGTTACTAATAATAGTACAAAAGAAAGGAGAGAATTGCACCGCAAGCCTTAAACCTTGTCTGACTGCAAATAAGTCCAAAATCTTTTGGTAGGTTCAACCAAGTTTTAAAATTCTACCAAAAGCTGCAATCGAGTCATAAACGTTGCAATTGATTCAATCAAGTCCTCAATTTTTAATGCAATTGAGTCCTAAGATTATGTTGAAAAATAAAATTGATGGATGTCGTGTAATGGTACGGATGATAAGACCTCAAAATTTACAAGAATATAATGAAAATTATTATCACTGTTCAAGAACAATTATGAAAAACAAGAGAAAGCAGTCACTGGAGCACAAAAATTATGGAACTACAAGAAAATTAATATCGTTGGAAGAACTTTACAATGCAAATGAGAAATTTTATTTATAAATGGACACAATATTTTAAATTTGATGGATTTCCTTAAATTTACTACGGTAATAGAATCAAAATAAACTTATTTTTCAAGTTTTAAATCATATATTTGAAGGGCAGATAAAAAAGGCAAATGCCGTATAATAAATCTTTAAAGTTCACGAGCTTCGTCTTTGTCCATATATTTGAAATAGTAAATTAAATGCATATCTTGATTCACTTTATTTCTGATATGCTGAATCAAATTGTTTGAACGAAGTTCCGAACAGCACTGAATCTATCACCAAACCAGCCATAGAATGATTTTCATGCCTCCTAAGGGGCAACTCTTTTCTTAGCCATCAACGATATTGATGAGTACCAAACAAATTACTCCCTTCTCATAGTGATATGTATAAACATGGTATATATATGGTGATATGTATAAACATGGTGATATATATACACAAGAAATGCCACTGAATGTGTACAGCCTAAAGGGTGTACTAAAACAAGTCAGCAAACAATAGAGGTACTAAAAAACTCAAGACACGAAAGGATCCTCTCCCATCGTTATCTAGTATTTAAAAACAATATTACAAAAGTCGGAAACACAAAGTCATGGAATCTCAGGTATATTGTAATGCCTTGCCATTTTATGTGCTATACTTTTCCTAATCATATTTATCTCAGCTGTCTGCTCATGTGATGTATCATTTGCAACCTCCACTTCTCTAGATCCAAACGGGTACTCCAGATATCCATAAAGGGAAAAGTTTTTGTCCATCCTCTTTTGGTCACGAATGTAATTATAGATAGCACAACACACAATTATAATAAGTGCTTGCTTTTTTATTGTAAATGGAGGCATGTACCTCAAAATGGTGAAGTGATTCTTTAAAGCCCCAAATGACCTGTCAATGACATTCCTTAATGAAGAATGCCTATGGTTAAATAATTCTCTTTCTATTCTTGGCCATCTCCCACTCCTCTTATAATCGTTCAAATGATACCGTTCACCTTCAAATGGAGTTAAAAATCCTGGAAGTGATGCATAACCAAAATCTACCACGTGGTATTTGCCTATAACGTGGTATATATAAATTTGTTATGATATACAACCATAATACAATCATAAAGAAAGTTTCTTCCTATAAACAAAGTAAATACCTGATGGTGGTCGAGGAAATTGTAGTCGAGGAATCTCGAGTGCTGCCGAAAGCACCCGACAATCGTTGGCAAATCCTTCCCACCCAGAATACACGAAAGTCAACTTCATATCAAATGAACAAACGCACAACACATTCTGGGTGGTGTTCCCTTTCCTGCCTTTAAATGGGATCTACTGAGACACATGGACGGAAGCATTTATATGAGTGCCATCAATAGCACCTACACAACCTTGTGCATTTATGAAAATCTAATATTATACAAGATTATCAACTACGTGTACTTGATAGTACAAACTCCATATAAAAACCATACCTTGAAGTATCGTTCATGATTAGGATCCATCAAAATTTCCTATGGGATAACATCAAAGGATGGTGGTTTGATAACCTCTTTTGAGAGTTTGAGAATTGCTTTCAATACTATATTAAAATAATTGCTAATTGTTTCTCCTGAACATTGGAATCTGTCATATAAATCTCTATTGGAGTTATTGTGACAAACCAAAGATAAGAAGATCCCAACTTGTTCATCTATCTTAACATACCGACTATCTTTCAACCAACATTTTGCCCTTATTAATTCACATAAGTTCAGAAAAACATGTCTCTCCATCCTAAAGGCTTCATATATTCTATTTGAATGTCTATAAACAATCTCCCTTATTCATTTGGGTCATGATAGTTTGCTATCCCTAATAGGTTCTTTCGTATGCATGGATATGTCCACCGCAACGATACACAACCATACTATCAATACGTGAAGATCATCATCATCCGAGAATTATTCATCTGGATCTACCTGCCTATTAGACACACTATTTGATCTCCCTTCCATAGTACCTATATCATCACACAAATACAAGAACATCAATATAGATATCTAAAAAAAAAAATCCAATAACAACCAATAACATAAGTCGTAGAGTGAAAGCAAACCAAATATAAAAATCCCGACCAATCCATCGTACCCATGGCACCACAAAAGTACAAGAGTCTCGACATCAATATCTCTAAAAACGGAAAAAGTACACCAGAAGTACCACAATTTGTGTACGGCGATCACTTTGGTGCCATAACTTTTTTTCGGATCACTTTAGTGCCAAGTCGGGGGAAAATAGATCACTTTAGTGACTCCGACCAAAATTCCGGCCAAAAAGCTGACCTGGCATATATATTAAAAAAAAATGGTTTGACTTGTACACGTGGAAATTATGTGACTTTTTTTTTCGAATTTTTTAATTTTTAGAAAAATAATAAAAATTAAAATAATTAAAAAAAAAGGTTGCGGCGACGGCGAGGAGCCCTCGCGCCGCCTGCTGCCAACCCACCACCGCCGGAAAGGCCGGCGGTGGTGGGTGCGATGGTCGGCGAGGGCCGGATTCGGCGAGGCGAGGCTGTGCCTCGCCATCGTGACCAAGGCGACGGCGAGGTCGGCCTCGCCGGATCTAGCCCTCGCCGACCACTGCGCCCACCACCGCCGGCCCTTCCCGGCGGTGGTGGGTTGGCGGCAGCAGCGGTGAGGGAGCTCTCGCTGCTGCTGTAGGCCTTTTTATTTATTTATTTAATATAATTTATTTTTTTTTAAAAAAAGTACACGTCAGCGGGCTAAACAGCGTCGTTTTTGGTTTTTAATGCTGACTGGACCTCTCCGGCGAGCCGTGTCAGCGCCACATCGGATTTCCAGCGAGCCACGTCAGCATTGGCACTAAAATGATCATTTTTCAAAAAAGTTGGCACCAAAGTGATCGCCGTACACAAGTTATGGCATTTCTAGTGTACTTTTGCCCTCTAAAAACCAAATATCAAATACTAACATAAGTTATACAATCAAATGAAACCCCACGCAATCCACAGTACATTTCCTAACATCTATTGAAGACATTAAAGAAGTCCATTTCTCCTTTCAGTTGGGGATTCGATGAAAGCCTCCCTTTATGCGGCACTAACACATGCTCGTTTCACTACTTTGTTGTAAAGATCTTGCCCCAACTCAGGCATACTAATTAGGACATCAATCACAGCGAATATGGAGAAGGGGTCCACAGGTGGTGGTGTGACATGTGAGGTGGCAAAGCCACTCACAGATTGACTTGCCTTAGCTTTGATCAGCTCCTATATAGCTTTGCAAGTGTCAGCAACACATAATGAGGCATTCTCTCTTCTCCTCTTGGTATTTGGAGTTCTATCCAATTTGTGAGAACTGGAGTTGCAGTATTATCGGATGTAAAGACTCTCTCATCAATGTGGTGATCACTTAAGTCCTTTGGATCACCGTCTGCATCGCCACTTAGGAAGCACCGACATGTTCGCGAAGCGACCGTGTCGGTGTCGCGTGTCCGACACGCGGCCAACGCGTCGGACATGCCGGCGACACACAAGTCGGGAATCTCGACACGCGATTTTTCGACACGCACGGGGTCAATTTTATAAATTTCCAAAAGTTTAGGGGTCCAAATGTAAATTTATAAAAAAATTAAAAAAGGAAAAGATAAAGGAGAAAGCTCAATTACTCAGTTCTTTCGTGCCTTAAGCTTCTCAATTACTCAGTTCTTTCGTGCCCTAAGCTTCTCATCTCCATCTGTCAAATTTCCCATGACGTACGAGACGTGGCAACGATCGGTGCCGGGAAGGTCGTGTGCGTCACCGGAGCGTCCGGTTTCATCCCTTCGTGGCTCGTCAAGCTCCTCTTGCATCGTGGCTACACTGTCAAGGCCTCCGTTCGCGATCCCGATCCATTCTCCATCCCTCTCGTTTCCGTTT